TTTAAATTTGAGTTTCTTAAAAGAAAATGTCTATACTAAAGATTAATAAGTTTTTGGTCTAATGATATTATTTGTCTTGTAAATATTTTATCTTCTTGAAATCAAGGGTTCAAGTCCCCTTTCCCTTTCTTCCTCCCCTCAAAAAAAAAAGAAAGGTTTCCATTGAAAATCAGGGCCGGCGCAACAGTATGGAAAAAAAAATGAAAATTGGAAGTGAGTCTTCCTAGTTGTACTTGTTTGGAGATAAATCCTGCAAAAAAACTTATAAGAAACTAAGTCCATATTTAAAATTATATGTAATGACTTAAATCCACTTTTTTTTTATCTCAAAATATAATTTTTTGAAAGGAAGTTACATTAATTTCTTATTTTGGATATAGTTATCCCTTAATTCAATGTCATTTAAAATATGCTAATAAAATTTTCATCATAAATTTAAAATTCAAATTCAAAATCTCTCTCTCTCTCTCTCTCTCTCTCTCTCTCTCTCTCCAACCAGCTAGTGGAGTTGTTTTATCAATGTTCATCTTTTAATTTTCTATGAATTATGTCAATTTTGTGGGTAACGGATAAGAATATCTAGTCCTTGTTAATTTTTTATTTTTGTAATTTGTGGTATTTTTTGTAGGGGTTAATTTGTTAAATTGAATGTTTCATATTACTATTTTTTTATTATGTTACTATTATTTTGAGCATGTTACTTTTTTTGTTAAGTATGTTACTAATATTATTATCCTAAATATTAATATTCAATGTTACTATTTTTTTTTTGAATATTACTATTTTTTTTGTGTTTGAATGGTACTATTCTTTGCGTTTGAATTTGAGAGAAATAATTATTATTAAATATATTACAATTTTTGTTAAGCATGTTAGTATTTTTTGTTGAACATGTTGCTAATGTTATTTTTTAAAAATATTAATACTGAATGTTTCAATTTTTTTATGTTTGAATGTTACTATTTTTTTTGTATTTGAATGTTAATATTTTTTATTTTTAATGTTATTATATATATATAAACTCTTAACCTATATATAGATATAGATAGATATAAAAGAGAAAAGATTTTAATGTCAGTCAAACTTCTAAAATTTAAAAGTTTTTAATTTTTAGTTTTATTTTACTTCTAAAGAGAAGGGATAGTAGGGTAAAATTAACAAAAAACGGATTTCATAACAAATAAGTTTTCTTGACGGATTTAAGTCCAGACAATTCCATATAGGGGAACCGGCCTCCAAATTTCCTAAAAACAAAAATATGGGTTTTACGCCCCAAATTTTTAAAAAAATCTCATAATTTTAGGTATATCATTAACCCACAAAAAAAAAATTAAATCTATTAAATTTTAAGCCCTAAAAAAAATCCCCCAAAAAATTAAATCCAATCAAAATTTTTATTACAATAATTTGGGTTTATAATCCAATCCATAACATCAAAAATTTAGAAATTAAAAAAATAAAATAAAATACTAAAAAGTCAACTCATATTTACTCACACCCACTTTCTCTCTTTCTTTCTCTACGGTATAAAAAAATAAAAAACAAAAACAAAAGTTGAAATCAAATATTCTCTCTCCCTCTCTGTGATAAAAAATAAAAACAAAAGTTGAAATTTCTTTCTCGACTCGACAATATTAAAACATCATTTTTTTGTCTCCCTCTCACATAAAAAATTAAAACTAAATTAATTTTTTTTAAAAAAATAATACTAAAAATAAAAAAATATTTATTTAATATTTCCGTTTTAGATCTCAAATTGACTTAAGCCGCCCCGTTGAAAATGGTCTTAGCGTGAAAGTTTGGCATAAAATTTATCGTTTAATATGGTTACACCACCACCACATACTTCAAAAAAAACGTTTACACATGAATGGGAAATTAAAGAAAATAGACATGCAAGTAAACCTTCTTTTGTTCGGACATTCCATTTGATTTGAACCATATGAAAACTATGGTTCAATTCACATTATCTGCCTTGTGTGGTTGGAAGAAATTCGAAATTATTTAGAATCCCATGGAAGAGATTTTAAGTTGGCCCATATAAAATCTATTTTCATATATATAATGAAACAAAACCAATAATCAATTTTTAAGGACAAAACCCCAGTGTTGGTAACGTATACGAAAATAATCATCAATTACATTTCTATCTTTTACGAGTAAATATTCAATGTACTGGTTATATCAACACTTTACATTAGTCATGCTGTGATTATTTGAAAATGGGAGATATGTAAGGACAACAAAATTCGGATTTTAAACTCCATATTCAAGGACGACCCTACAAATTTTAGGTCCCCCCTCCCCAAAAAAAGAGAGCAAAATCTCAACCAAATATGCACCACTCATTCTCTCTTTCTTGTCAAAACGCAAAACTTAAAACATATCTCTCTCTCTCTCTCTCTCTCTCTCCAATAACACAAATCCTTCCTTTTATGGTTTGTGTTTGTCTTATTCTTGAATGTTTGAACGTGACAGTTTTTTATAGTGATTGGTTTTGATTTATTTTTGAAATTTTATCTTTTTAAAGAAAATTTTACAAACAAAAGAAAACAATTCAATTGATATAAAAGGCTAGATTTTTTATTTCAAATATGCAAAAATTATTGTCAACTCCACCGACAATTGCTTCTGCCAAGAAAAAGTATTTTAATATTAACATTAATAAAATCTTAGTTAACATCAACTATCACAAAAAAACAATTTTCATATATATAATGAAACAGAACCGATAATCAATTTTCAAAGACAAAACCCCAGTGTTGGTAACGTATACGAAAATAATCATCAATTACATTTATATCTTTTACAAGTAAATATTCAATGTACTGGTTATATCATGTCACTCTCATCACATAATATAACCGACTAATAATAAATAAATAGGATAAGTGAACCCAACTAATTCGTGCATGGTACTTTTGAATGTAAAAATTATTAGTGATTAAGTCGACGCACTGGTCATACACCTCATTCATAAGTGATGACCATCTTCATTATTTTTCATTATTTTTCCTTGAAAAGTGCAACTTTATTTTCTCCACTAGATGTTCTGAAACATCTGAGATTTAGGATTAAGGTTTGGTAGAGAGTTTCTCTCTCTCTCTCTCTCTCTCTCCAATAACGCAAATCCCTCCTTTCATGGTTTGTGTTCGTCTTATTCTTAAATGTTTTGTAAAACGTGACAATTTATTTTAGTGATTGGTTTAGATTTATTTTTGAAATCATAACTTTTTAAAGAAAATTTTACAAATAGAATAAAACAATTCAATTGATATAAAAGACTAGGTATGCATCGCTTTTAAAATTTTGTAATTAAAAAATACAATTACGTGATAATAGTAATAACATGATATTTGCATTGGATATTTAGTGAGAATGGGGCAGTCTTGTTTGAATTCTTTTCAACAGAATACGCCTCCAAATAATTTCAGCCCACATCTTCTAACCGACAACATGCCTCAAATCTACTTTTCAAAAAAAAAAAAAAACAGACCTATCACATGCGTCAAATCCGTTTACAATAATCCCCGAGGCTGTCGGAAGTTGGAACGACCAATTTTATGTAAAACTTATTTCATTTGATAAATAATATTAGCCTAAAAATCTGATCAATAGGTTAAATTTAACAACGTATCTAGTGATATAATTCTCTTAACAAAATATATAATAATTAATAATTATAAATAATAATTTTATATAATTGCAAATAGAAAAATCCTATTGAATGGTGTCAACTCCCTTATCAAATAATATAATGTTATTATTTACCCAAAAAAAATAATATGATGTTACTTAAATTTAATTTATTAATCCAATTTATTGACTTAATCGATCACATATTAAATTGATAGTAAATCCAAATATTATGTGAGACTTAGTACTATTGAAATAATTGTGTTGAATTAGGTCAACAAAATAAATCTAAATAATATTATTGTTATTTTGCAAATGAATCACATCAACTAGCATATCATCATTAAATTAGTATTTTTGGTAAGATTTTTAAGTCTATTTAGTATTTTTTTTTTAAGAATATTTTTTTTTGATTTAAATATCTAATCTAGTAATGTGTCAAGTAATATACTTAGAATGAAGAATGCCGACAATTATAATTACAACAACAGACACAGAGAAATATGGAGCACAAAGAATATTACAATTCTTATGTATCCAGTCAAAAGGAAAACTATGAATCCACATAGATAATAGATAAAACTGTAAAATATGATTTTATTGAATGAATAATCTGCAGTACAAATGAGTAGTATAAATAGGAATGGTCAAAACTATAATAATTCTCGTAAAGCAAAATCGCTAACATTATGAAAATTATAAAAAATAAAAATATGTGATTTTTTGAATTAACATAAAAGCACGTGTCGTTTAAAGCCTAACAAAACTAACAGCGTTGAATTCAAAATCTAATATGATTTATTATTAATTTACAAAATCTTTCTTGAAACGATTAAAATGAAGTTTTGAGAACTTAAACGATGGAATTCAGCCTAAAGTTGAAGGGGTACATGGCAAAATAATGAGTTCTGACTGTTTGTTTGATTTGAATCAAACACCTTTAGTCTTACGGAATTCTGAGTCTAACTCATTTTGTCTTTAATTATTATTTATTTTTTTTTTGATTGTGCTTTGAAAGCATGACAATTAACCTATTTCTACATCAAATATTGGACTATATCAAATAGCACATTATTAAATCATGTTAAACTTATAGGTCGCATTATCATTACTTCGTATGTAAAGGTCCAATGGCATTTAACTTCTATAAAATGGTGTATGGGGTGTAATTTCAATCCAATTTTTAAACGACCATAACTGTTGAAAGTCAACAGTCGAGTCATTTGGCCACGTCTTCGATGGATCACGTGTTTCACAAGTGACTTGAGGATCTCAGGTTTCACTATTGATTCACGCTGTCCTTTTCATGCACAAACTAGTATAAAAAGGCTATAGCCAATACTACGAACCAGCAAGCACACAAGCAACCATTACAACACCCCTCTCTGAGCCAGCAGGCAATCACACAAAGCACAAAAGATCATGAAGATCAACAATAACACCTTAGTCACTTCCTTCAACTCCTCAACCCTATTTCAGGGCTCTCAAGACATGGTCTCAATTGAATTACCATTAATTCTTTTGAGCTTTTCCTTCTCTACTGTTCTTCTCACGGCTTTGTTGTTCTTTCTTTTTGTCAAGAACAAATCCAAACCCATTGGTAACAAGAGCAAATTACCACTTCCTCCTGGCCCAAAACCATGGCCGATAGTTGGAAATCTCCCCGAAATGCTCTCAAACAAACCAATATCCCAATGGATACACAACCTTATGGATGAAATGAACACTGAAATAGCTTGTATTCGTCTAGGAAAAGTTCATGTTATTACAGTTACTAGTCCTGAATTGGGACGAGAGTTCTTGAAGAAACAAGATGCTATTTTCTCATCTAGACCTATTTGCATGGCCGCTGATCTTGCTAGTAACGGATACTTATCGGTAGCTCTAGTCCCCTCCGGCGAACAATGGAAAAAAATGAGGAGAATCCTCGCTTCTGAGGTGCTTTCTCAGGCGAAACACCGGTGGCTTCAAGGCAAAAGAGACGAAGAAGCTGATAACCTTGTTCGTTACGTGTATAACCAGTGCAAAATCACCATGGAAGGCGGAGTAGTGAATGTGAGAATTGCTACTCAGCATTACTGTGGAAATGTGATAAGGAAAATGATATTTGGAAAGAGGTTTTTCGGAAAAGGAATGGAAGATGGAGGACCAGGGGTTGAAGAGGAGGAGCATGTCGCCGGGCTTTTCACCATTCTTAGGTACCTTTATGCTTTTGGTATCTCTGATTATTTACCATGTTTAAGAGGGTTTGACATAGATGGGCATGTGAAGATTATGAAGAAAGCTCTTGGGACTGTAAGAAAATATCATGATCCTGAAATTGACCAAAGAATTGGGCAATGGACGGAAGGTAGTAAGAAGGAAAAAGAAGACTTGCTTGATGTTCTGATTACTCTCAAGGATATAGATGGTAGACCAGTGTTGTCAGCTGAAGAGATCAAAGCCCAGATTGTTGTAAGTCTCTCTCTCTCGTACAAACACACACTCTCACATGAGAGTAGTAATGTTAAACATGGCATTCGAAATTAACTATGACTACTTAATATTGCATATTCTTTTTAGAGTAATGCTTTTGAGACCTAATTTATTGACCTAATTCATTATGAGCTTTGGATTGACTGTGGACTTCCTTAAACATTTGAACTTGATGTGAATCTAATGGTTCCAATAAAGCCACGTCATTAAGTCAATAAATTATATCAAATTTTTAAGTTTAAATAGCATTTTCTTTCTTTTTAAGTAAATATTAGGTGTAACGGTTATATTATATCAACAATATTAATGTGGTGTAACGATTTAATAAAAAAACTACAAAAATAGATAAATAAAACTCATTTTCTATTATGGATGTAATTATGCATTACAAGTTGTTACAAATTTTTGTGGAATTGTTTACTTATTAATGAACGATTACACCGAGTGATAGTTATTAGTAGACAATTACACAACTGACGTGGTGTCGATTACACCCAATATTTGTCATTGATCTCATACTTTATGGTCAAAAAAAAAAGAGAAATGTTAGGTGAATTTAAAAACTAGATTTAAAAATTAGACTTGATAATTTTAACTATTGAATAGGTAATGAGTTTAAATAAATACTAGGACCCACAGTAAAATTAATAATTAAAATTATCAAGTATAATTTTTAAATCTATTTTTTAAGTCTACGCAGCATTGCTAAAAAAACAAAAAGAGTATTGTTGTGCAGCTTTTGCATCGGTGCAATATCGTTAAAGAATATTGGTTTCACAAAATAGCGTTAATTAGTTGGTGTACTTCACAGGAACTAATGATAGCAACAGTGGACAATCCATCAAATGGCGTCGAATGGGCACTTGCAGAGATGATAAATCAGCCCCAGACCATTGAAAAAGCCATAGAAGAACTAGACAGAGTGGTTGGAAAAGAGAGATTAGTCCAAGAGTCCGATTTGCCACACCTCAATTACGTGAAAGCATGCGCCAGAGAAGCCTTTCGGCTTCACCCCTTTGCACCCTTCAATGTTCCACACGTGTCCCTCGCAGACACCACCGTCGCCGGTTACTTCATCCCTAAGGGTAGTCACGTGTTGCTGAGCCGACCGGGACTCGGCCGAAACCCGAGAGTTTGGGAGGAGCCACTCAAGTTCAAGCCGGAGCGCCACCTGAAGGACGCTGGCTCGGAGGTGGGGCTTTCTGACCCGGAGCTGAAGATGTTTTCGTTTAGCACAGGAAGGCGTGGGTGTGCGGGGGTGACATTGGGTTCTACCATGACTGCCATTCTTTTGGCTAGGCTTCTTCAAGGGTTCACTTGGAAGTTTCCACCCTGTGTGTCTAGTGTTGACCTCAGAGAGGCACAGACTGATCACTCTCTAGCTCACCCACTGCTAGCTCTAGCACAGCCACGCTTGGGTGAAAATTTGTATATTGCAGCTTGAATCTTCTTATATACAAATAAGTATGTAATAGTAAGTAGAGTTATCTGCGTAAATGAAAAAAGCTATGATATACACTAAAAATTATTTTTAGTAAGATAGTTTGATCTATGCATGTTATAAATATGAGTTTTTTTAGTGATATTATTTAGTGATCTTTTCATTTTCTATTATTAGATTGATAATGAACCCTACTATTAGTTAGAATTCATTATCAATTCAATGACTATGATCCATCAAGTCACTAAATATAATTATTAAATTAGGTATAAATAAGATTTTCTTATAAATGTATAGTTAGTTAGGTAGTTAGTGAGATATAGAGATAGTAAGTAGAAGAATGGTTTGCTCATGTTGCCAGTGCAGGCAACTAATGATAATCAAAGAAAAACAAGGCGTTTGGAGTCCACTTTTAAAATGGCTGTAATACCTTTCGTCTCTTTTTAAGTAAGTACACGTAACTCTCTTTTTAATTTTATTTACATATTTTATTTATAAAATATTAATATTATAATTTTAAGGACAACTCAAGTGATAATAAAGACGAGCTGTAAATTGAGATGTCCTCATAAATACTCTAGTCTCGACACAGATAGTCTGTTATAGGTTGTCTGAGCTTGCGCCGACTACTCCTTCGAGCTCAGCAATTAACCACCATAGATTGAGTTGGTCTAGAGCATATCTCTAAAAGGGTAACGGTAGCTAGCCTTTAGAGTGTCTGAAAAAAAAAATTGAACCTGAAATCTCTGCGTTACCAAAAATAGACCCAACTAGAGCCACCTATAAATATTAAATAGAGAACACTATTAAAGACCCTTTAAATACTTCATTCACAGCAACCCAACTACTTGATGAACATCTTGATCCAGCCAACACCAACCATCAAGACCTTTTTTTTTTTTTTTTGGTTAGACATTATTATAGGAAAGAGGACGTCAAGATTCAAACCTATAATTTTAAAATTCAACAGTAAAATGGTGAATATTAGGCCGACCGTTAACATGGATTATCAAGAATTCATTTATGTCATGCTATGCTTAGCCAAGGAGCCAACAACAGGTATCCAACATCTCACCAAACAACATGTAAAGGCCGTGCTCGTGGTAAGTTATCTCTGTTTAGGGTAAATTGTAAAGGGTACACTAAATTAGATTTATTTGATAAAAAATACACACTAAAAACTTGTTAAATCAAATTAGATCCAATATGCGATCGAATATCTAATGTTTGACGGATTCAAATATAAATCATAACAATAAAATCACACGAATTCGAATTAAAATTTTTTAATTTTGTCTACTAGTTGTTATAAATTATTCATTAATATTATAATGTTATCTGTAGTTGTAAAGTTCCCCATTTATATTATAATTTTGTCTTAAATTGACAAAGTGATAACTTTTCGATATAGTACCATAATCTGGTCCCGTAATCAATTCTATTTCCGTACCCTTGTCTGGTCCATAAGTTTTTGATGGCTGCTCCCTGTGTACGCGAATGTTTCTGGTGGAGAATGGGGGGTCCGCTTTGGGGGCCTGTGACTGGGGGTACGGCAGGCTAATTGAAGCAACAGACAATGGCTATCTAAATAACGATTCATTGTGCAAAATATATTATAAAGTGTTTAAGTTTGTGTTGATTATTTTTTTAAATTTAATAGTTGGTCATTATAATTTAAACTAATTTAGAGTATGTATCCAAAAAAATAAGAGTGACTAACTTTTACAGAATGTGAGAAGGAATTAAATTTAAGACCTTGAATTACAAAAAAATAGACTCCACCAATGTATCTTTTTTGTGTGTTCATATATTTTTTTTGAGAAATTATGTGGAATTAACACATCACGTTTTAAGGTTAATGTCAAGTAGTTTACATCACCAACAAAATAATTTACATTCCTAATGAATGAATATCTTTTGTCACTTTGTCAGTATTTTTTAAAAAAGTTTACTTTTTGTGTCCCATAAATTAATTTTATGATAAATTCTCATTAAGTACGTACACCATGTGGTACCGTCACCCATGAAGTCATACAAAATTTTCCGTCAAACTTTTACCTGTTAGAGCGTTTTTAATCTTTACTAAATTGCCTTCTTTTCCAAAATTCAAAATCAAACTCAATGCCGTCTTTTTCAAATTTTGTTAGATGCAGGGCAAATGATGGCCAACACCAAGGGCCTAACTCAAATTATAAGTCCGGTCCGAGGTTATGGCCTATCTCTAAAAGATCCAACAAGTTCAGCTCAATGTAGTCAACTCGAAGAAGTTCAACAAGATCAAAGAGCTACATCAGTAAGGGAGCATGCAAGATCATCCAAAAGTCTCCACCACCTTGGAGTAGAGGTTCAAGTCAGTCAAGCTCATCAAGGAGCTACGCCACCAAGGGATCATTTAGAAACCTCACCTTCGCCGTTTGGAGAGAGTCCACTTTCCTTCATCTTTTGACCAATTCTTTTGGAGAGCATCATAATTTCCTTGCCCTTTAAGGAGAGAAGAGGTCGTCAAGATATTTAATTACTATTAAAGTCATTCCAATGCGTTATGATAATTAAATGGTCTCAACTCATTATGACCGTCAGACTAACTATTCAATTACTACATTAAGACACTTTAAATTGTAAGTCTCACCAACACTTGGGAGACATCTCACTCATTTGAGTATAATTCTCTCATCTCCCTCTCAAAACTTGTAACTCTTTACTCTCTCTACACACCAGAGTTAATATAATACCAATGACCCTTACCATTCAAAATGGATGTAAATTATATTGACCGAAA